ACAGATTTGTGAAAATATCTTTATTGCCAGGCATTGGCGAACAGACAGAAGTATGCCCAAAATATTAAAGGGCAGTATATATGGCAATGCTCACTTCAATAAAATATTTTCTAGAAAATAGATACTTATTTTCTTTTGCTTTATTTCAGCACTTACTGACGACCTTCAAACATGTAATTTTGTACCAAAGGAGGTACAACTTCCATGACAGTGAGCCAGGGTAGAGGAAATGACCACTGTGGTTTGTTATGCCAAGTCATCCTCTCCTTGTTAATTACTACACATGCTTTATAAATCACTCTCTTATGTGTTTAATAGCATGAGTCAGTTTCTCCAAAACCTTATCGTCTAAGAATGAGTGGATAAGATTAAACTTCTGGACCTACGAACTGGAGAATTTGATATTTTAGACCACATGACTCTGGTGGACAGAGTGGAAGGTCAGCTCATGACAATTCCTGCCATTTTAATACCACGGTGATAAGCTCTTAAAGCTGGCCCAGAGAGTTTACACGATATTTCCCGTGTTTTCATAAGCTCTTCAGGAAAACCACCCAGTACTTCCTTGCTCCTGGCTGCTCCTGCATCCAGACTGATTATCTTTAGAGGATGTGCTTTTTAAACTCTGTCTTTTCAGCTTCTCCTCGGCTCTTGCCTGGTTGTGACTTCCTTCTTTCCTGACCTATAGCCAAGCTTGAGCAGATTCTGTGAAGAACTCTCCTTTTCTTTGTTTTACTTCCATCTTCCCAATGATTGTCAATGTTTCTGTGCCCAAGAAGAGCTTCCAGAAGCCCATCAGTCACGCCCTTCGTGTGGCATATGACAGCCTGAAGCAGCCAGCTGGCCTCCCTTTTTGATAACTTTTTTAATGACAGCTTTTTAGAGATAAAAAAGCTTTTTTAGTTTCAGATCTGATTGTAATAAAACTGCACGGTTTCTAGTAAATAAGAACCAAATTGAGACGGCCTCTGCCCAGATCTTACTAATTTGTAGTTTTGGAAACTGGAAGTATATTGGACTCAAGTTTACCTCTAAGCTGTTTAAATAAAAAAGAAGGTCACTAAACATATGAGCAGCATGAATAAAATTTAAAGAGCTTGATTTTAAATACATTTTATTTTAAATACATTAACACATAAATCATATGCATTCAAAAGAGTCCTAATGTATCAGAACTTATCTATCCATTACAAGAAGATTCCAATAGCACTTAAACTTAGAAATGCTTTTGTAGCAATCAGTTCAACTTACCACACATACTTGAAAATAATATAATTGCATTAAAAAAAGATCCTATAATTTAGATAATATTTTTCTCTAATTTAGATTGGGTTTCCTTCCATTTAAACTAAATTAGTTTAATTTTATGTCAGAGATATTTACACCAGTTTCATCTGCTGGCTTCATTACCCTTTCTCTGCCCTGATTCTTTTAAAGGTCAATCCCTGAACTGGAAAAACTCCATCTTCCTACATTTTCATTTCTCTTACACCCTGTAGGGTGCCATTAGAAGTGAGAGGTGGACATGCCTAATCACTATAGTAGATCATGGTTCTCGGTAGCTGCTGCAGTGAACTGTATACACTAGTTACAATGTCTAAAATGCAGACCAACCACACCTTTCCTTAAAAGGCTCTTCAGATATAGGTGAACATCAGCTTTCACAATACTTGAAAACTCAAACACACATCAAGCCTCCTTTGTGCTCCTAGAATTTTGTGCCTTTTTTTCTATTACAATACTTAACCTGCCTTTATTCCCATTGGGTATGTATTTCATTGAAAGCTTCTCCACATCTTTAACTTTGTATTTTCCTCAACTCCACCCTAATGTCCTGTCAAAGGGTCTTGAATGTAGGAAACCATTAATAAATGTTTACTGAATTGAATTAGATCATCCAGTCAAACCCTTCATATTACATAAAAGGACACTCATTTTCTCAAGGTTGAGTACTCAGTGTCATCCAGATAGTGTCAGAGCTGAAACTCAAGTTCAGGTCTTTTGACTTCATAATCCACTCAAATGCCATACTTTGTCAGACTACCTTGGCTGTGAGCAGAGGTGAAATCTAGTATCCGAAAGATGCTGTGTTGTTTGTTTCAGGTTTTTATTTATATATTGTTTTCATGGGTATTTTTTGTGTCTGTTTTGTTTTAAGTTTGTTTGTTTGTTTGTTTTTTAAATGAAAGGAATGGTTGTGGATGAGAGGGGACCTATAGCCTCTTGGACTATGAGAGAGAGCCATAAACCCTCTTCTCTATCTGTTCAAGATGATTGTGTGCCGGGCTTGAGGTATAAGCTGGGCAAGGAGGGCAGCTGGAAGTTCTGGGAGAGGTCATAGGTTAGGACCTGTGACTTATCCACCCGACCTAGAAAGACTCTTGGACCCAACTGAAGCTCATCCTAAGGGCTGGCGGGCATGGGGAGACCTGGACTCCTAGTCACAATGTGGCACCCCAGGCCCAGCCCAGGTCTGTTCTTACTCCAGGAGGAGAAAGAGGTGACGCCGTCCATCCATTGGAGGGTACATTACTGTGGGGCAGAGTGGCTGATCCCTCATTCCTGGACATCTCAGATCCACAAGTTTGTCAGTATTGTTTTTAAAATTGAGAATCTGAAACAGTGCTAGCAAACTACACTGCAAAAATGTCTTAATGAGTTCATTAAATTATAAAATGTTATCACAAGTAAAGGCCTTAGAAATCAAGTGGACAAGTTTTACAAACGAAGAAAGAAAAGCCTGAAGACACAAAGTTCCTTGCATTATAATACATTCCATAATGTTTGCCATTAATCAGGCCGGATATTATGACTGTGTCTAAGCAACAGCCTAAAATCGTTTTAGAAAGAGATACTCAAAATACGTTTTAATAAAGCAGTCATACACATGAGGACGACCAGCTAAACCCTTACTCCCTCAGCACTTGTCGCCTATGCTTGTTACCTGGATTTCTGGCTTACTCAGTAGTTATTTATTTTTCCAATTGGAACAGAGCCATAGCTTCAACTAAGACAACAGTTCTTTGAGGCCAACAAATGTGAGCCCAGAGAGAGAGGAATTTGGAATCACACATTTTTAGCATTCACAGATAATTCAAGATACTTCGAGTGCTTTCCAAGTGTAACCTACCAGGCAAGTGCTTCTTGCTACCACCATTATTCACCAACAAAAAATATTTTATTACTAAAATGTGTTGCATTGCCATAATATTTTTGATAATAAACATTTATATGTATGGGTTCTATATAGATATTGCCTCATTTTAACCAGGGACCCTAAATTTTAACATGAATATGTAAAAATTACAGAAAAATGATTAGTAGGTAATTTATAGAAATCCATTATGTGAATGTTTATTAACTCAAAAAACAGAACAGAATGAGAGGAAATGGTTTTATATTGCTACAATAAGGATTTAAATTATCTATGAAGAACTTCCTGACAAATAACAGACGTGGTTACCAAAATGGTTTTGGAATTTCCTTCTTTAAAACTTTCAAATTAATATAACTTCCTTTTAAGACAGGGTGAGAAGTTTTTGTTGTTGTCTTTGTGTGTGTGTGTGTGTGTGTGTTTAATAACTGATAAAATTCTTAGTGTTCATTCATCACGATACCTCAAGGAACAAAGTAGACCTCAAAAATAGCTATTTAAAAATAAGACATTAAACTCTGAAACAGGTGACTATTAAACTCCATAATTTTCTTCTTAAGGGAGATTTAAGTTCAATAAACAGCGTCATAATACAGGGGGAGAGGGAGGGAAAACAGAGGCGGCAGCTGGGGAAGAAAGCTCTGTCGAGGAGGGAAGAGAGGAGGAAGGAAGAGAGCGCCACGTTAATCTGCTCATCTCACAGCTCTTTCAGGGCCCTGGGCCTCTCCAAGCATCAGTAAATCCCGAAAAAAAAAAAAAAAACCAGCAGAATTCCCTCCCACTTCCTTCAACTATTGTTTTTCAAGGTCTTACAGTATCTTGAGACAATGTCAATGAAAAGCACTGAATTATAAAAAAGACGTTACTATTAAGTTACTCTTCTAATTTAAATCTCTTTGCCTCAATTCCTGTTTGCTTTAGGGTTCTGTAATGAGAAAAGCAAATGCTAAGGTTACTGCGAGGTTAAGGGGTTTCCTGAGACTGAAAAGGGACAACTTCAACGCCTCATTAGGTATTGCCTTGCATTGTCTTCTAATTGCTTCTTGTGCGTAAATCTCACTTTTCCCAAAAGACTTTGAACTTCTCCAGGACAAAGACCTTGATACAAGCTTTTTCGTATTGTCTAAGTCTATACTGAGCATGTAGCAACTCACTGAAACTAGTTAATTAATTTTTTAGGGGGAAAGTTGAGGCACCCCCACACATTTCTTCTGAGTACACCACAAAGTACTCTGTAATGAGCAAGTCAGAAAGGGAAAGCCAGTCTTAATTTTGAATATGGCATATGCAATGCAAGACATGAACATATTTTTGAAAAAAAAAATTAAATTACGTCTTTGAAGCTAAGAAGCTAAATTAGACAGTAGCATTAAGAATTTTTATTTAATTAATTTGTGTATTTAACACATATGCTACTTACCATGTTACATGCACTGGTCCAAGCTTTTCACAAACATTAACTCATTTAAACTTCATGAAAACCTATAATAATAAGGATTATTATTATCCTCATTTTATAATAAGAAAGAAAAAGCAATTTGACCAAAGTCATAAAACCTGAAATTTGAACCTGAGAAGTCTAGCTTGAGAATCTATCCTCTTAGCTATTATTCTCTGTGCAAGCTAAATCACCCGGGCAGGGGTAATGAGAAAGAAACAGAGAAAGAGAGAGAGAGGGAGAGAGCAGTAATGAACAGGTGGAGCACAGAAGATTTTTAGAGGAGTGAAATGGTTCTTCTGTATGCAGGAGGAAGAGCTGCCATCTTCAATCTTTAATTCAGTGGTTTCTGTTTCTGCATCTAAGCCAGGTTTGCCCTCTCCTAGGAAAAACATGGGGAAAAAAGGAATAGAAATCAGTGGAGCACATTCCCAATCCTTCGAAGGGTAGCATTCGGAAGTGGCCCATATCACTTCTGCTTACATCCTTTGAACAGAACTTGTTGACACATCCACACCTAGCTTAAAGAGAACCTGGAAGAGTAATCTTTACTTTAGCTAGGTGTACATGTGCCCACCTAAAATTCTATCACTGTGTTAAAAACACTGTAGTACTGCAGAAAAAGGCTCTCTCCTCTCACCTGGATTCTTGCAACATATCAGTGCTTAAATAGCCCTGTTTCATAAAGGACTTCCTTGACCATCCTAAAATTGTACCATCATCACCCTCTGGCTCCTTATTCTGCTTTATTTATCTTCATAGCACTGTCTGATCACACAGTACTTCTTATCACTGTCTGAAATCCCATTGTATTTTTAATTATCATCTGTCTTCACCCCCACCTGTCAGAGCATAAGCTCCATATGAACCAGGACTTTGTTTCTTGTTCATTCCTATTATTCCCATTGTCTAATTGTTGCTCGGTAATATTTGTTGAATGAATGAAGAAATAATAAATGAACAATGTTTTCTTACTCATCTCCTTGCCTCTGATTTTGACAATAAAACAAGATGAAAAAGAGTTTAGTTATCTTAACTGGCACCAGAATTCTTTTTAGGAAGGTAGGAAACTGTCTTTTATGATAATAATAATAACATATCTCCTTGGGGTAAAGGATAAAACCATGATCCTGTATTTGAGGAAAAATTTTCCTTCATAAAATGGACTGTAGAGGTAAGGAGAAAACAGAATACATGAAACTGGGAGGACAGAAACCAGTTAGATGAGAGCCATCTTCGTGACTGTGGCCCTAAAGTTTCATTAACATTCACTATGGTAGCGAAAGCTTTATGTGAGTAGATTCTGTGATGCTTAAAGCAGGGGTCGGAGTTCACAATTGGGAAGGTACGGAGCAGAATGAAAATGGCACATGGGGAAATTGAAATCTAAGAGGCAGAGGAGATCTCGAGAATGCAAGCTCCTCTAGAATTTCCAAAAATTGTGGCATTGCTTAAGTGACAGCACATGAGAAGTGGAGTGGAATCTACCTTTTATGTCAACACTACACATCATTTATGCTTCATCACTTTACATAGGATTTCCTTATATACTGCTGTATTTCACACTGACATCATGGATAGGTTATATGGGGACTTTGGTTGGGAGAGATTAAGGTTATATAATCATGTACTTTTCATTATTAATATTTCTTTTTTAAGTTTTTAAATTCTTCAATTACAGTTGACATTCAATATTATATTAATTTCAGGTATATAGCATAGTGGTTAGACATTTACATAGTTTACAAAGTGATCCTCCAATCACTTGCACTCGCCTCCAAGTCTTGCACTCGCCTGACACCATGTATAGTTATTACAATGTTATTGACTACAAACTGTACTTTACATCCCATGACTATTTTGTAACTGCCAATTTTGCTTCTTAATCTCTTCACCTTTTTCACCCAGTCCCCCAACGCTTTTTCCATCTGCAATCATCAGTTTGTTTTCTGTATGACTTTGTTTCTGTTTTGTTTGTTCATTTATTTTGTTTTTTAGATTTCACATATAAGTTAAATCATATAGTATTTGCCTTTCTCTGTCTTATTTCACCTAGCATAAGATTCTCTAGGTCCACCCATGTCATCACAAATAGTAAGATTTCATTCTTTGTATGGCCAAGTAATATTTCATTGTATATATGTACCACATCCTGTTTATCCATTCATCTTTCGATTGGAGCATTTAATCCATTTATATTTAAAGTAACTATTAAGAGGTGTGTAGTTATTGCCATTTTATTAATTGCTTTCTGATTTTTGTTGTTATTCTCTGCCCCTTTTTTATTCTCTTGCTCTCTTCTCTTGTATATTGATGATTTTCTGTAGTGTATGTTTGGATTCCTTTTTCTTTATTTCCCGTATATCTCTTGTAGATTTTTGATTTGTGGTTACCATGCGCTTCATAGACCAAGTTATGTTTATAGAAGTTTCCTTTAAGTTGTTGGCTGCTTAAGTTAAAACACTTTAGTGATTCTAAAATCGCTATCATTTTTACTCACTCCCTCCACATTTATATTTTCATCATTATTTTTTACTTCTTTTGTATGTATGTTTGTGTGTATCCCTTAATTTACTGTTGCAATTACACATGATCCTCCTACTTTTGCCTTTTAACCGTTATATTAGCTTTAGTGTTGGTCGATCCACTGCTTTTAATATGTGTTTGCCTTAGTCAGTGAGATATTTTTTTCTTTGTGATATTTTCTTACTCATCTTTTTAATTTCTTTCCTTCTTCTTAAAGAAGTCCCTTTCACATTTCTCGTAATACTGTTTTGGTGGTGATGAACTCCCTCAGATTTTTCTTGTCTGTGGAACACTCAACTCTCCACGTTTGCCTCTCGTGTCCCTGCCTATTAATTTTCTGTTGCTTTCAGAAGCTTCCACTTTCCTCTGGTCATTTCTGAAAAAAGACTTCCAAGTATTTTTGTTTTTTGTTTTTTACGATTTTTTTTTCCCTTGGACTTGTTTCTTTCAAACTGCGTGATCTTGGTCTAGTCACTTAATTTCTTCTGCTTCAGTTTCTTCACAGTTCTGGAGGCTGGAAGTCCAAGATCAGGGTGCCAGCACGGTCAGATGAGGGCCCTCTGCAGAGTCACAGTTTTCATTGTATCCTTATATGGTGGAAGGGCTCATCATTAATATTTCTAGTGAAAGTGAACATATAATTCCTCCGCACTTCCACAGCAAAGGATAAGGCAAGACCTCCAGGCCTTCCACAGACTGCATCCTCACCTTCACCTGTATCCACTGAAGGATGTACTATAGAGTTAAGCCAGATGTGGTTGGATGTTCCTTCAACTCCACCTTCCTTTTTGCCAAATTCTTTTTATCTTAGTTTATGATTATCCCTCCACCTTTGGTATCAAGCTCAGAGTTAAGACTTTCTTAAGGTAAGAACAATTACACAAAAATATTCATTTATTTGTTTTTTGTGAAATTATTTTAGGAGTTAAGTTTTAGAGCAGTAGTACATACAAAAAGTATTGGATGCAGAAGTCTGAGAACAAACTAGACTGGAAATAATAATTCTTAAAGAGCTGCATTTTCATTGCAAACTACATGTTCACAGTTATCTATTACTGTGTAACAAACCAGCCCAAAGCTTAGTGACATGAAACAAAAATCATTTTATTATGCATGAATTTTGTGGACTAGAAATTTAGGCAGGACACAGCAAGAATGGCACATCTCTGCTTTTCAGTGACTAGAGAGTCATATGTGCAGGGCAGGGGAAAGGAGGTATTCAAATGGCTGAAGATAGTTGACACATCTGAAAATAGCCAGGTATTTTTCTCTCCTCATAGCCTTTCCATGTGGCTATCTTAGGCTTCCTCACAGCATGGCAGTCTCAACAAAGTCAGATTTTTAAGACAGAGCTGGCTTCCCCTAGAGTTAGTGTCCCAAGAAACTGAGGAACAAATCACAAACCTTCCTATATCCTAGCTTCAGAAGTCCCAGCATGTTATTTCTGACACACTCTATTTGGCCAAGCAAGTCACTAAGGCTATTTCAGATATAAGGAAATGGGAATTAGATCCTACCTCTCAGTGGGAAGCGTAGCAAGGCCTAGAATGTCAGGATTCCCAAAGGGGTTTAAATGGAAAAGGCCAACCAAAGAAGACATTGAGCTGCCTCAGGTCTAGAAATTATGCTGAAGGGTGACCAAGCCTTGGGGCTTACTAATGATCCAAAATGGGAAACCTCACAGAGATTATGACTGATGCTCTAGCCTATAATAAAGCAAGCATTTTCCTGGAGTGATCTCTCTCCTTATATGACTTAGAGACCTGAGGTAACAGTAGGCAGCTGGCGATCAGTTGGAGGATTCAGACCTTTAACCATACCATTGTGACTAAAGCCCTCATGTAACCTGACTCCAGCATCACATCTGTACATCTGTACCCAATATTTGTCAACCTGCCTCCTTATCCCAGTAAAGTGGGAGTTTTTGAAGAGTAGCAGATATATGTCACTCATCTTTGCATTCTCAGTGTCTAGTACTTATTTCCCATTCAACGAACATTACCAACAGAACAATCCCTTGCTACATTTTATTGCTGCCATAATCCTTAAACACAACACTTTCACATGTTCAAAAACCTCTAGGAGCCTCCTATCTGCCATTGTATTAAGTTGAAATTCCACTACCTTATTTCTAAGGAACATGGTAGTATGTAATAAGTAGATTTAATTTCTCAAAAATTTTCTTTTAAGAGTTGATTGCTGACTTTCACTCATTTCTCTGACATAACTCAAACTTAATTCAGGGCAACTAAATGGTGAGTGTGGCCGCTCAGGTTTACCTCAAACTTTAACTGAACAACAATGCTTTCTTTTATTGCCTTTGCTTTCCCCATGTATAAACTCTTGATGCCCTTAGAGTTTGTGACCCAGTTTATTACTTAGTTACATGCTGTCTTGTACAGGACAGGTTTCCATTACATAGCTCCTGATCATTCCCATAATTGTAAGGTTGTGCAACCGAGCAAATTACATCACAGCATCAAACTATTCACTAATGAATTGATCACTTCTAAATATAATTTCCAAAAGACGTACTCGAAGTTCATAAAATGATTACTTCTGACAAGAAGTGAAAGGGAATGGAATGAAAATAGTGCTTGAAAGGGCTTTCAGCTTCATTTGTAATAGCTTTTGAAAGAACGTATTTAGGTTGAGGTAGATTGTTTCCAAAGATTGCTTCAACGATCTCTCGCACGTTGTTTCCCCTTTACCTTGGGACTTCACTACTCCTACCATAAAAAGGAGTCTCCTGTCCCCTTCAATCCAAGCTTGGCCTGTAATCTGCTTGGACTGATAGGATGTAGTAGAAGTGACAAGGGGAGAGTTCCAGAGCCTAGTCTTAAGAGACCTGGCAGCTTCTGTTTCCACTTCCTGGTAATCCTGAGGCATCATATAAAGAAGTCTGGTTTCTCTACTAGAGAGATCAGAGGAAGAGTCGCTGGAGGCTAAAATACTGAGGAGAGAGAAATCCCACATTCTACGCATGCCAGCTAAGGAGCCAGACATGTGCTGGAGACCACCTCAGATTCCATTACAGCTGAATGAACATGGCAGAGATGACCCATTCCAGCTGAGCCCTGCCGAGCCATTCACACAATCATGACTAAATAGAACTCATGACTGTTGTGTTTTTCAGTCTCCGAATTTGAGACTGGTTTGTTACACAGCAATAGAGAACTGTTAGGATATGTTACTTATGTTACTCAAAATTAATTTTAAAAAACAAATAAGCTCATTTGCAAACCTTTCTTCCTGTTTAACAACTAGCTTCTCTCCTTTCCCACCTCAACCTCATGTCTTTAATGTCACTATTCATCCAACAGAGTCTACAATATCCAACAATGCGATGCAAAATCAGTAGAAATCAATGCAAAATCAGGGCAACGTGATTATAACGTGAAATTGCAAGTCTTTCAAAATATGTAAGAAATCATGAAGTTGATGAAAGTAATGTTAGAGAAGCCATTGAATCATGGGCAACTTCTCTGACGAATGAGAATCTGCAGCTGGAATAGTTAACATTTAAAGAAGAAAAAATCCACACAGATGATGGCACAATAAGTGCTTCAAAAGAGAATGATTTGAATGTCAAAATTTAAGAAAGGCTCTTGGGAAACTGATGAAGCCTTCAAATATTTTTACAATAATGACTCTTTATGATTTGCCCACAGAAGTTAAATGTAAAGGGATATATCCTGATACCATATAATTTTGTTAGAAAATTATGCTTCTCAAAACCAGCACTTGATTCGTCTTTTGTTCTAATATTTAAAACATCATCGACCAATTAAATTTTGTTAAATTAAGATAAATTAATTTTAATAATTTTCTTACATTTTTAAAAAATAAAGTTCCAACCAAATCTTTTAATATTTTGTCCTTATTTTTTAAAAATAAATACTTTAAGTAGGTTTTGGGGTTACCAATTATCTGAGGAAATCGAGGGTCTCTAAATATCTTTAATTTGTCTCTCTAGGAGGTATACTCACTGAGGGCAAGGTCTTAGATCATGCTGTATTAGTATCTTCTTAATAGTTCATCAATCATAGAATTGAGCAGATAGTGGAAATTCACAAATTCAATAAATGTAACAACAAATGACCTGCTGATTGATCGGCTTACATGCAGATTTTGCCACTGTAGAATGGCACTTTTCCATTATCAATCCCTACCCAATATGAGCTGGCATTTGTTCTTCTCAAAACTGTTCATAGAAGGCCTATT